GAGATAGAAGTTTGATATTCTGTATTTAACGAATAATTATAACTAACCTTAAATAAAAAATCATATTTAAAGTAAAGGTGGCCGATCACCCGACCTTTCCCTACAGATGGTTGTTCGTTGAAAATGATTACAAAGTACTACCATTTATTCCACATGATTAAATATCTAAACAAATCAGAGCGTAAAATTTATCAAAAGAAAATTATTTTGATCAAATGTGCACACCTGTATATTAATCGCATAAGCTGCGTACAGCTGACCGTCACCCACGGTGCAACCACCTCCGGTTTATCAATCGAGACAAATGAAGTATCGATCGACGTGTCTCGGCCTCCTGGGGGTGATCCTTTTAAAAGATTCTAAGAAATGTCTCTAAAAAACAGTTGTGTTTTTCAAGCAACCAAAATACGTTTTGGGTGACGTATGGTATCTATAAAGATGATCCACAGCTCTTTCGACTCTATCTCATCGATCTCACTACTAGCGGTGGAAATCACCGCCATCTGCCGAGAAAAAACATGCACTACACATGCGGGACCAATGACAGCAATTTACCCGCCCGGAATCGCTAAACAATCAAACACAAATTGTTTAAACAATTCATATTAATGCGATTAGAGAAAATGTTCGATTATTATATTTTGTTTCTCATTCATGAAAAATCATGTATTAGTAATCATGTATTTATATTAATCAGGTATTAATTAAACTGTAGGTTCTAATCACAATATTTTGATAGAACAATCGGAAAATTTATATGTGCAACACTATTAATGAGATGGATGTTCATAGAATATGTCGTGACATACTAAACATTACAAACGAGGCTTCGCCACGGCCATCACAACTGTTTATCTACTTCTCTTGAAAAAGATTAAAACCTAACAGGAATAAATCAGTTCCCAAAATATGTTGGAAGTGGCACAATAAATCAGGCATTAATGTGAGAATATTTATCAAGCGTCCCGCATGTTTAGAAACACATGACCAGTGTTTTATGTGATTTCTCCGACGTAGGCGGATTTATTTTTAAACCCTGAAAGTGTTGATAATGTTTTTCTTTAGATTAAGTTCATTTCGGCACTCTTTTTTCGCTTGAGACATCAAAATTATATTAAGAGATTCTTCTATTTCAACATAGTTTACATTTACATTTTAACTTCGTTTCGTGAGTTCTTTCATCCTGAAAAAAATCAAACAATGGCTGCAGGAACATCTCGGAGTCAAATGAAAACATTGAGGCAATTATTTCCGCCCCTCTTTTAGCTCAAGAGCTTCATTATTCTTTCCAAACAGAAAGTGAATGTTTTCTGTAAGAACGATAACTGATATTTTAAATTAATATCATACATTCATTTCCAGCCAGATTATTTAAGTTTAAAGTGCAAAAATGTACGTTACGTCTATTTTAAAGCAATGTAAATGATGAAAAATGGTTAAAATATTGGATGTTCGTTACATATAATTTACAAACGTGGCTGTCTTTTAACTTTATCGGTGACTTAGACATTTTATACTACCAATGGTAAATAAATCCACTAATCTAGGGAATTCAAAATGTGTTCTTTATAATCAGATATGTTTTAAATCATTTTATGGAAGCATTTTCTGTAAATGTGTGTTAAATACACTAATTGTGGACTTTTTGCAAAAATAATAAATTTACACATAATTTTTACTGAAATGATACGTGTTAGATGGTTGATATTTTGGATTACAAAATACTATAGACTAATAATTTCTGAACTTTTTACTGATCACAATTTATCCGTCAATATTTTACCATTTTAGAAAGTGTATGCCTCCGAAGGAAGCATAATCAAATTAACTTTTTTAGAAGCTTAGAAACCTGCTTTTACTAATAAGTTTGAAGGATTTTTTAAAATGTAATGCAAAATATTTCTGAAAATACCTACTTCCGGGCTTTCCAAAATCATCACTTTTAAACTTAATTTTTGAAGTAATGGTAAGAGCTAGGAGGTTAAAATTATGCGTTCAGAAACACTGTAATGTTGATATTTTATGATGATTTTTTTTCCTCGGATGTTACGGAAGCTTTCCTATGTTCAAATTTGGAAATTTTGATTAACCCTAATTTTTGTGTTTGACTTAAGCCACAGTAAGTAAACGAAGGATAAATTAATGTGATTTCCACTAAATAGAACGGAAAAATTTGTACAAAGGGAGATGGGTTCCAATTGTTTAGCAATAACAGTATAAGGAAATATTGAGTCCCGATTCGGGATTCCCGAAGTTACGAAAATCTTACAGTGGTATTGCACAACGATGCTGCACGGGATCAAACAAACGGCTGAATCACAGAAACATTTTCATTCCCAATGCTACAACGGAAAATATCCTTTGAGACATCTCTTGACCAAAACTAGACCATCTGACTGGGATAGGCCCTGAATAAACATTTTCGTAGAAAAGAGATTTTAGATTTATGAAAGATACTACAACTGATAAAGAAAGCGATACATAAATAATGAATGATCTCTATTGCAGAAACTGTGCTTGACCAAACTAATATTATTTTAGAAAACATTATGAGCTTACAGAGCGTTATTATACATCGAAGACATTCTAAAATTACTTTATCGCTGCAAATGGTAGGGACATGTTTTTCGCTTAAATAATTTTTAAAAACATTAATTTACATACCATTAAATGGTTTTGATAATACCTAGTTGTTATTAATCCCCTCTAGATATAATACGCGAAGGAAAGATTGAGAGTAAGTACAACTTACAATAAACCGCCGACACAAAACCCCTTCAATGTACTACTACTGGAGAGGGAATTACCACAAAACTAAATTGCTTATTTTTACTTTGTGATAATATTCTAAAAGTTAATGTTTTATACATGTTTTTCTACAAGGTAAGTCTTCCAACTACTATAGAGCACAAGACTATGTATTTTAACAAATAGTTTCATTGATTTCAGTAATTGCCTCTTTTATGTCTGTTATAGCCTGATGAAGTGGACTAATGATGTAATCTCAACGAAACGTTGCAAATAACTACCTCAAGATATGACAATGTTTTATAATTAAAATAGCACTGTAGTCTGAATTACGTTTTTTACTTTCAAGTTTGTCTTAAAACCTGATGGCCAAATGATTGTGATAAATTACCCCCAGGCCTGCATGAAACAGATTTAAAGTGAAAACTTTCGAATTTTGCTGATTGTGATAAAGGGAAATAACAGGTGCACGTGCAACCCGCAGCAGAAGTTATGCGCGCAGATTTCCTTGAGCCCTCGCTTTGCTAGGTACCAGAAGAGAATTTTTTCGATGACAGGACTATTATATCTAGTCTGTAGCTCATTTTTCAATGGAAAATTGCTTCTATTAAACGGGAACGGACATCTCTGGTAATTAGATTTTGTGAGCGTCGCTGACCAACGCTAATATTTATTCTTAATACAACTAACTTTAGTAAAGGAGTGGAGGAAGGTATTTCGGGGCTCAAGATAAAGTGCAAAGTAGCTACGCACACCTCGTAGCAACACATGTTACTATTGCTGAGGTCACTTTAGTTACAATAACTCTACATAAAAAGACGTGAGTCTATTCAATACGTGTTTGGCTTATTTGAACTTCAAGACCAACAACCATCTTATTGCTAAGATACATGACAATGAAATTAGTACAAACACCATCACACGACATCCATATCACAACAACTATCGTACGTAACTCGTAAACGGCGAGTCCTAGATCGTTACAAAAGGACAATTACAATTCTTAAAACCAGGTTTGCGTGACCAACAGGAAACGAGTTGTGTTTTTAATGTGGTATCGCCTTCAAAAAGAAATCTTTGAGATCGATCTATTACATTCTGGTGTACTCCCTCTCGGTATCACGGAAAAAACTTCAAAGTTGGGTTACAGTATGAAGCCATTTTAACTTCCACAAACAATGATATACAAGCTGCAGAATATAATCACGGGCACAATTATCATTCGGACCCTCTGAATTTCCGACGTTCTGCCTTGGCTGGGTGAACGTTGCGAAGAAACGATAAGTGTGGTGGTTAGCCAATACCTTGCACAATACGTTCCTATAATTAACAATTCGGGCGCTACATTCTAATTAAATTGATGAATAATAAAGAAAAATCTGCGGCAAAACTTACAATAAAAATAAGAACGAACAACTTCCAGTCCCCCCTTTAGTTACAAATTTTCATGCCCCTCTTCCATTTACCGACGCCTTCATCACTCTTTCTGGATAACATACCTTAAACACATTCATCACCCTAGGCCGATGTACTGTCTCCACATGACGGTACTCTCGCTGTCCTTGCACAGACACAAATCTGCTAAATCTAATGGCTTTCAGAAATAATTTCTTTCATGCATTCAACAGATAGTGTATTATTATTATTATTATTATTATTATTATTATTATTATTATTATTACCTACATTTATGTGTAACATGTTGGCTATATTTTGAATATTCAATAATAATAATAATAATAATAATAATAATAATAACAACAATACCGAGAGAAGTGGCTCAGGGCGTAGGCTCTGACCTTCGCAGAGGGGAGGCCCGGGTTTGTTCCCCGGACCGGCCATTCAGACCGGGGTTTTCGTGGTTTCCCTCGGTCACACTGGGATGTTTAAAAAAGGCCACCTATCATTATTCTAACACCTCACAAGTCATAATTCAGTGCTTAACAACCCAGCCTTTCCAAGTCATACAGCCGAAAAGCTGATCTCCATAATTACACACGTTGATTGCTCTCCAGGAGAGGATACGATTGGGTGTCGGAAGAGAACGCGTAGCATGGTCAGAAATGATCGACACGCAAAATAATAATAATAATAATAATAATAATAATAATAATAATAATAATAATAATAATAATGATGATGATGATGATGATGATGATGATGATGATGATATTGGCTCAGTGTCGAGACCCAGTCCGCAGAGCTATTTACATTGACACCGTGATAAAAAGGTGGAAGCGAGGCCCACTTACTCGGGTCGTGGAACGGCACCAGCACGTAGTTGTGGATGGGCTTGTGCTCGTCCTCCAGCATGGTCTTCATGATGGCCTGCGTGCCGGCCATCACCTGCTGCAGGTCGTCGTGCATGGAGCCGGTGGAGTCGAAGACGAAGGCGAGGGAGGCGCCGAGCGGGGCGGGGCCCGGCGGGTCGTCGGCCGAGTCGCTCAGCACGCCGTCGCCCGCCGCGGCCAGCTGGGCCTCCGCCTCCGCCTCCTCCCGCACGTCGGGCCGCTGCCCGAAGCGGTAGCCCAGGCGCCACAGCTCGCTGTTGGGGCCCGTCGCCGGCGCCGTCGTCGACGCCGCCGCCGTCGGTGCCGGGGTCAGCGGAGGCCCTGGGAAATACCCCGAGGGCGGCCACTGCGGGGCGGGCTTCCTGTCGCGGATGTACCCCTCCAGCTCGTCGTCCATGTACTCGGCGCCTCTTGTTGGCGCGTTGTCTTCCGCGTTGGTCGTCGGCGTTTCTGGTTCACGACCACGAGCCTCGTCTTGCTGCGCCCGTTCAGCCGATGGTTCGTCAACGACCGCGTCGGGATCCAGGAGCCAGTTCGTCCCGTAGGAGGTCATGATTTTACGGAACTCTTCTCCCAGTTCCGAGTCCTCCCAGTTCTCGCCCGATTCCCGGTTGTCTGGAGCGGGCGCGTCGCCCAAAAAGATCTCGCTCGTTTCCATCGCTCGCGCTTCATCTGCAGTCCCCGAGCCCTCCGCTTCAAATTCGGGCGTGTCTCGCGTCCCGTTGCACCCAATTGTATCTAGAGTCGAACACCGCGTGTCCACCTCTTCACCTGTCGGCACATCCTTTCGGCTCACCATGACGTTAGAATTGTTTTCTTTTTGCTGTACATTATCACTGTTTCCAAGAGTGTCCGAATCGAAAGTTACACCGGCAACTACATCTGATGGGTGCGAGCCGTTTATGTGGGCAGAATCGGTTTCAGACACTGTCCGTTGAGCTGACGAGGAATGCCCAGGTATGTTTAGTTCATCCAATTCATTGGAATTGGGATCTGGAGTGGCATTATCATCGGCGTCCACAGGGGAATCAGCACCTGTTTCGAAAGAAGAATCAAAAGTGTTCGCATTCAACGTCTGTGTGTTCGTTTCATCTTCCTGAGACTGCGGCACACCGGTGTCTCCGCTAAGGTCTACAACCGCTTCGGTGGACGTTTCTGGAGCCGGAGCGCTAGTAAACTCCGAATCGGTTCCGGGAGCGCCCGTTCCTTCCAGCAGCTCTGTTACCTGCGCCGGAAGAAGTCCCCGAGGCCGCAAGATCTCCTCCGCGGTCGCCGTCCAGAGCGCAGCCAGCGCCAGCGCCAGCAGGAGCGACGCGAGGCCCCGGCGGGGCAGGGCAGCCGTCATGACGGCGGTCGCGGCGCCGTCTGGTGTGCGCCTACGGACATGCCTGCCGGCTAGCGGACTAGGCCCCTCCGCGGCCACGCCAGCCTTGGAGCGCTCAGACGCGGAGCGGGCGGTTAAACAAAGGAGGCAGGGCGGACGGTTAAATAGCAATCGGCGTACAAGCGTCAGACGCGAGGCCGGGAGATGCGAGGCACGGGGTTAGAAGTAGAGATGGAGAAGCAGGAGATGGAAGCTGGGGGTTGCGCGGAGTGGAGGGGCTTACAAGAGGTCGACGTAGAGCATAGACGGGAGAAGCGGAGATGGTAAGCGGGACCGTTAGGTTGTGGCGGCGGGGAGGGCGGTGGCGTGTGTGGGGCGGAGGTGCGGAAGTGGTGGAGATGAAGTGGGGGGCGCGGGTGATGGCGCGAGATGGAGGCACAGACGTAGAAGTATAACGGAGAAGCCGGAGAATCGGAAGCGGACGTGGTGTGCGGCGGAGAGGGGTGGTGCGGGCGGCGAGGGAAGTGTCCGAAGAGGAAGGAGCGCGGTGTGTTGTGTGATGGCGGGAGATGGAGGCACAGCGAGGTTTTGAAAGTATAGACGGGAAGAGAAGGGAGATGGAAGCGAAGGCCTGCTGGCGAGGGAGGCACGGCGGGTTGTACAACGTAGTAGAACGGCATGGAGGCCGGAGATGGAAGCGGGAGACGGGTGGGGTAGCGGTCTGGAAGGGAAGTGACGAGATGGGAACGGGGCGGAGGGTGGAGGCGGGGCGTAGAGGCGCTGACGGCGCGAAGCGGATGGAGGCGGGGCGGGGTGGCGGCCAGCCAAGGCGAGCGAAGGCAAGCGGCGGTAGGTTTGGCGGAGGGGGGGGGGCGGTGATGGCCGGAGCCGCCGCCACGCGAACATCATGCGTCGCCGTCGCTTGGATCTCGCTTCTTGCGATCGGGGAGGGGATCACGCCTGTGCTCTTTTTTGGCGTCGCTTTCCGTCTTTCAACACAGATGCAACGCATAAATCGTTATCAAGGACGGGGATGCTTCATGAGATCAGTGCGTAGATCGAACGTCGGCCCTCCCTTCCAGCTTGTTTTTTAGCAGGCGTTTTTTTAATTCATTTTTTCGCGCTGTTTTTTAATATATGTGCTGTTTGCATTGCATTAGCCGAGTTGTTAATCAAAACGATGGAAAAAGTAACAAATTGCATCCACGAGCAAGTATTCAAGGGCATTCGTTCACACGAGGAGTGTTTCACGACGTTAGCATTTGCCGTCTTATACTATATTTACGACAAATATTATTTTAAAATAATCTCCCAGTCAAGTGGCTTTTAAAATTGTGTATAAAAAATACGTCAAATATGCATTTGAAATTTTAATTTATTACCTTTATTTGCAGTGTACCACAAAGGGAGCTCAGAAATTCTTTTTTGTTTTGTTTTTGTAACATAACATTTTTTTTTTATTTCGCAAAATGTAATTAATTATCATGTTATCAATAACATACAGAAATCTTTCTTTATTTTTAAACGGTTGATTTGTGAACTGAAAATGGTGATTGCGATGAAAGTATTTAAAGGCACTCGAAATAAATCAGTAATTTACAATCGTCAGTTTGGCTCGGTGAACATGCTTCATATTCTTTGTCTATTCTTTCTTTTGTAATAGTATATTGAAAATGTGTACTTAAAAATCCACACTGACATTAATTTCGTTTTCATGCTTAATTTATTTTTTAAATTAACAAAATATAATTAATCCATGTTAACTTGATTACTTTTAATTTACTTTTAGTAATTTAAATTAATTAATCTTTCAATTAGAGTTCAGAAATCTTCGTAATTAAGGGTGAATACTATTCCCCTTTTGCGTGTTATAGAACCATTCGAATTTACGCAGACATATGAACAACAAAACAAACTACAATCATAATGTAACACACCGCTTGTTATCACAGGTCGTTTGCAGATACCCTCCCGGGGCATTTCAAGGATGTCACAAACACTGATGAGACTCATTACTCTTGAATGAAGTTCTCGTGATGAGAAAGGAAGAAGCAATATAGAAAGTATTCTCAAAATTAACTAAGGTATTTCACAATAATCATATATATAGTTTCATTCACTTATCACCTAAAAATGACATATAAAATCGAGAAAATACATTATATTACATTATATTCAGTTGTGCTACTTCACTTGTATTTTTATTTACAATTTCCAAGTTCAACACATGGACTGGGTGAATTTCATCATTATTATTCAATGGTTCATATTAAATACAAAAGCTAATATTTTGATTCAGCAAATTTTACATAACTAGATCTGTCCGATATTCTCTAATCGCGTCATGAGGCTCTTTCATGGCATTGAGAAAAGACGATGATTTATTAACAGTAAGATGGGGAAGAAATATGATAATGAATGACCCCTTGATGGCAAACATAAAGCACGGAAGTCTCTTCTTTAAATAGGACACACGAGGCAGGCAAAAAAAAAAATCACTTTCCAGCCCAAATGTAAGCAGAATCTTGGTCTCATGGGGACTTAGGTTCACGCTTCGCTCACCACGTGATTCATTCTCATGGAAGTTCACGCCAAGTAAACATTATGTTTACAAGGCCGTTTTAATAATCTTAAACTTGGAAAGAGTTCGTTTTTATCTATATGATTATGATTTGAATGACAGTTTAAACAATATCATTCATATTTTACGGTATGGCTTACTCAGTCTCCGTTTAAATAAAAGCCCTCCAAATTAATATATTTAAATATATTCTAATACTAGGTATTTACCCGCAAAATATCAATAACGTTTTGTTTCATCTGCAAACGAATTACATAGGACGTAAATAATATTGCACCTTAAAAGGTCCCATAGATGGCATACGACATAAAAAGTAATGTATGGTCATGAGGTTCAATATGATCTTTAGTGACATGTTGCTTCTCTGTGGTCAAAAGGCACTGGAAGAGTTGCCTTGGAATATTTGATAAAAATACCGCCGGCATGATATTAAGTAAACACATAAGGGTGTGAACTCCTAAAAATACGTCCAAGTTTCAATGTTCACTGCTATATTGAAAGCATGTTTGTCTGTCTGTGAACAACTCCAGCAGCTAAACCGTTCAGTCGATTTTCTCCAAAATTTATTTTCCCCAATTGATCTGGCAGATGTCGCGTCCTCTAAAATTTAAAACCTATATTTTAATTTTGGGGGGTACTTTACATGACGTTCCTGTGATATTTTACAAATTTTCCAAAAAAATGGCTCTAACGTTTTTGATTCATATTTGTTGCAGGACGTTTAAGAAAATGGGGCAGGTCTCATAATCGTTGAAAGCTCACATTTTCGAAAATTGCAAAAGTTCAACTTTTTTCCGAGTCTTCCTACAACTAAAATATTAAATATCGATATTTTTCCTCTTAATGAAATCTGTTTATTAAGGATAGATTTTAAAATAAGGTCATGTACAATTTTTCGAAACTTTGAAATCGTGTAATTTTGCGTGAAAATAGAGGCGGGAAAGTATATGCTGTTTTAGCACCACTAGTTCTTTTTTTGCTTGAACTACTATAGTTTTTTAATATATTTTTATACCTATAAAAACAACACTAATTATAAAAACGAATTTATAATATTTTCCTAGAATACAAAAGACAGGTTTAGTAAAAATACACTTAACAAGAAAGACGGTTCATTGATTCATTTACCAATCCCCATAGATAAATGCGAATGAAATCATCTTGCTTTGTAATTGACATTCAGTTACGTAACTCATAACATCGTTACATTCTGGGTTGCAGTTTCTTTAACTCTAATTGTGAAATATTGTCTCTCTTTCAACATTTCTCTAATTGACTTGCATGTTGGCAGCTGGAATAAAGAAAACAAAGACCGAATTGTGTGAGTTTAAACGTTAATGTTGCGCATGATGGAAAAGTTGAAGTAAATAATTACGACGTCTCATAGAGATAAAAGATGCATTACAAGAAATCCCTAAGTTTTGACCTTGATCTAACATTTTTTTCATAGTGCTATTATTACTTTTCCTGCGATACTGAAGTGCTCGTGATAAATTCTGGGCAGTATACAAACATTGTTCTAACGTGATTCGTGATTGAGAGATTATACACCAATAAGCAAATAAATAAATAAATAATAAAAATGCAAGAAAATATTATTGCCTTGATAGTGAGTGACGTGGCTAAATAACAGTAAATTGAAAATAAAAGTAATTATTGTACGAAAATTAATAGTTAAAATGATTCACATTTTTATTTGAACTAACATTTACATTAGCACTTACAAGAAAAGGAACTATCTTTTCTTGGAAACCTTGATAGCCTTGAATTTGTTTTACTCGTCACACTGCTTCTACGAAATGCTATTGTGACTCAATTTCGAATCGTGAAATGCTCTCACTGAAAACGGAATTACAGATTTCGTTCATCGCACTTGTGTAATCGTCAGAAGCGCAGAGAAGGAACAGAGACGGGCATATATTTGTACAGAGCTCTGTCCTCCAAAGGGATCTGAAGCCATACTCAAACACAGGACGAGTTTCTCGGGAACGAACAAGACTGTTACCATCAATGAAAAATATCAAAAGCCTTTACTGGTATCATCGTCCTTTCCCTTTAAGATTTTTAACACAACCTGACACTGGAGCCACCGCGTCCACAGAAAGACAACACAAGAACGTGCCTTCATGTTGCCTAAGCTTGCAGGTATGATGCCAGCTTGTTAGAAAATGGTGCTAGGAGGGGAAAGGGGGGCACTAATGACGAAAAAGCCAGAAAGGGCACAAATAAGGCAAAATGCCAAAAACAGGCATCAGAAGCTGAAATAGGAAAAATGAAAATGTACTAAAACAACTCCAGAAGTGCAATTAAGTGATTCATGTTGCCAAAAGCGATAAAATCGTAACAATAACCGAAATACATTTTGCCAAACTTCCGGGCTCTATTTATAACGGACAACTTTACTCGGACGTACCCGCGGGTCTCAGCAAAACTTAGACCA